CAGGACGGTGGGGAGTAGGATTTTGACTAAGATTCTTTGACTTTGATGAGAAGAGGCCAGTATATACGATGGGGAACCGTCGTAGCAAGTCCTTTCTTTCGCGAATCGATTGACATAGTCAAGCGACCGAGGAAGGATACATGTGGACCATGGGTCGAGTCGGTGGTTCTTGGGAGTGTGGCCGGTATCGCGGTGCGTGCGTTCACGGACGGAGAACAATGTTGCATATCAGTGTTCTCTTTGTATCGAATTGGTTTCTCGATACCTTTGCAATTCTAAGACTGTTTTTCATGTTTGGGGGGTGACGACCCATCTTGATTGCATGTCTACCGGAATTCTCCTCTCTTTTAGGTTTTGGTACTTTTCCAATGGAGTGCAAATTTTCATGCTTGTATCTCGAAACTGTGTACAAGGTTCACGAGGGTTTTCTTGCTGTCTTGTGGCATTGGCCCCTCGCTCCACTATACAACACTCTACGTGCATTTGGACGCCCTCTGGACCAGGTCCATTCGGACCTGTCCGACATTTCGAAACGTATCTGTTCCAGAAAGCATTCAATTGTGCATGGAGACTGGCAGAGTGCTGTGTAGTGGCGCAAGGCCCATTGCCAAGACTATCTTTTGATGGAAGTCTGCTTGGTGGTTAACTTGTCACCCTTGGCCAATGCTTGTGGTCTGTGCCTTTTTTTTTTTTTTTTTTTTTTTTTTTTGGGTCCATTCTGATCCTCTGGGTGTTATTGCAGGTCTATTCGCTCTAGCACATTGGTGAAACCGCACGCCATAGTTTTTCTGGCAGCGGAGATGGTGGTTGCGCCGCTTTCAGGAGAGGAGGAAGAAGATGAGGAGGAGGACGAGGAAGAGGAGGGGGAAGAAGAAGATGAAGAAGAAGATGAGGAGGATGAAGAGTACGATGAGGATGATGAGGAAGAAGACGAGATCCATAGGCTGGCTATGCTGGAAAAGAAGCAGAAGCTCGCAGAAGAACGACGGCGAGAAAAAGAGCTCATTCGCCAACAAAAGCAGCAGGAGCAATTGATGAGTGATGCCGACAAGCCTGTTGCGGTTGTGATTGATCGATGGCTGAGATTCAGGACAACGGCAATGGTAGCCGCCCAGCTTTTCTGCTTAAGGGAGAGAATGTCCGCCGCATTTGCCTTCAAGGTGACGATATGTTTCCCCTGTGCTTCTCGCGCACACCTCCCTCTCATTATCATTATCCCTCGGACCTACACACACACACACACACACACACACACACACACACACACA